ACAAAGATGCTTTGTGATTTTTTTTTTCTTTCACTGAGGCACTGGATTTCTGGGGCTTTCCTACATTTGAAAAGGTCTCTAAAAACAGGTGTGTACAGTGGTGTATAAACACCTTGTTTCTGGATGTGGGGTGAGTTTGCTTGTTCAAAAGTTTTTCCCATACTGTCCAAAACTCAGCGAGTGTCCAGCAAGCACCCACTATGTGCACCAACATGCCAGACTTGGGGGGATTCAAAGTGATTATGAGGGGTAACGTTCGTCCAGCGTTTCTACATAGGTCAGCTCATTTAATCCTTCACTGGAACCCTGTAACTCCAATATTAATAGAATCTCTGTTTTACAGAGGAGACCACAAAGGTAGATTAAGAAACACTTTGGGGTGCCTGGGTGCCTCAGTGGGTTAAGCCTCTGCCTTCAGCTGGGGTCATGATCTCAGGGTCCTGGGATGGAGCCCCGCATTGGGTTCTCTGCTCAGCGGGGATCCTGCTTCCCCCCTTCTCTCTGCCTGCCGCTCTGCCTACTTGTGATCTTTCTCTGTCAAATAAATAAATAAAATCTTAAAAAAAAAACCACTTCAAAGTCACAAAACAATTTGGTCAAAGTGGCCTTCCAACTGGCACAATTCCTATTACTGTGCACGTTTTCACCTCCCAGCCCTCTGTAGGAACCCTGTGACCTCCCAGATAGCGCATCCCCCAGTCTTCCCTCCAATGAGGCCTCAGCTCAAGTCCAGAGCTCTCAAGCTGGTAGGGCTGCTCTAAGAGACTCTTGTTCTCCGAACCCCATGTAGACCCATCTGCAGAAATAACACGTTAACTTCCACATTTTAAACAGGATTTGGCAACACTTATATTATGGAAAACTAGGAGTTTTTGCATCCCTAGGTCATCATCTCCTGCAGGAACAGGATCCTAAGAGCAGGACCTAATGAGATCCAGAGGGGCAAATACTGCTGAGGGGAAGCTAGGAGCCATGGCCGTCCATGAACCACAGAAGAGAGCCACAGCCAATGCAATCTGAACACCTAACACTGTGTTAAAGAACGTATTTTCTCTTGCTCAGAGATTCCTACCTGCTTCTAATCTCTTCTTGATCATTGACAGTACAATGTTTTTGACAATGTTTTGACAATGACTTTGAACTAGACCACCTACCATTGTATATTGGTTAGTTTCAAAGGTCTGAGTCTAAAAATCATTTCTATAAACAGACCAGAGTTAGTAATTTATTGTTCTATGCACATTCTATAAGGCTATTTTAAGCTCAAAATAGATGCTCAATAAACCCTTACTGGGTCAGAAAAGTTAGAATGTTTATTAGATACCAGTTCACTCAAAAATCGGATTTTCCAGGAGCACCTGGGTGGCTCAGCTGTTAGGCGTCTGCCTTCAGCTCAAGTCATGATCCTGGGGTCCTGGGATCAAGCCCCATATCGGGCTCCCTGCTCAGCGGGAAGCCTGCTTCTACCTCTCCCACTCTCCCTGCTTGTGTTCCCTCTCTCGCTGTCTCTCTCTCAAATACAATCATTAAAAAGAAATGGGATTTTCTGGACCTTCCCTACACAATGTGTTCATTTTTAAAAGACTTTAACAGGTCATTTTACTGAAGACCCAATAATGAATGGTAAACATCAACCTTTTTTTCAAAACTACATGGTCGGAGAAGGGGGGTGGGGAGTAAACTCGTGGGGAATAACCTAACAGACACAAAAGGGTAACACCCTAATAAATGTATGAGCTTAGTTTGGCTATAATAGAGCCTTAGATAAATCACACCCCGCTGAAATCTTTACTAATAAAGGAGCATACTCTAAGTCCGATTATAATGCTGAGCAGTACATCCTCTAAGCTTGGTAAGCAGTCACTGGCATTCACTCAAGTGTCTGTTAAACTTTGGGCACTTGGCCCAATGCACATTGGGGTAGAGAGTCTCAAGAGACAGGCCCTGTGATTACGAAATCCTTTAAGGAAGGAAAGCTATACACATATGAACCAATGTTGCATAGGACAGGAGAATATATGAAGTCAGTTACAGAGGACAGATCTCCAGGATAGTGCTCACTGAAAAACCACTGGTTATGGAGAGTGTTGGAGTTTTCTATCTAACTGTCGTGAATTTACAGCCATCTGAATTTATCATCTTCCTTAGACCCCAGGATCCTGAAAGTTCTGCCATCTCTGTAGGCACCTCCGGGATGATGAAAGGGCCCCGGGATGATGAAAGGGCCCCGGGCCCAGACTTGGAAGTCAGACAAACCTGGGTTTGAATCCTGGCTCCCGTGTGTATTAACTTTGTGACCCTGACCAAGTTTACTTAATCCTGGAGTTTTGGATCTTCCCCTGTAAAACTGAAATACAAACGCTTTGAGGATTAGAGATAATGTATGTGAAGAGGAGAGAAGAGAGCTGAGTTCAAAGTCCTCAGGCCATCATTTCACATACAGAAGGGGAACCTGAAAAGGTGCTTGGGTGAAACCACAGGAAACAAGGGTACAAAGGCCATGGTTGGGGGGGGGTTGCTCCACAACAAAGATTCTGAACCCACCCAGCTTTCCTTCTCCACGTCATTTAGGTCCCCATAGATTTTTAGGAATAACAGATCAGATTAACATTACCAGGAACATGATAGGAGTGAACACATCCTCCATGACTTTTTTTTTTTTTAAGTCCCATAAAATCATTTAACAAGGTCAGAAGGACTTCTGTAGTTCTCTCACTTGTGCTAAAAACTGTGCAAAGGGCCAGTGGTAAAATCGGGGCCATCTGTCAGCATTCCCTAAGAAGCACCTCAGTGACTGCACTTAAGCTTAATTAAGGGTCATCCAAGAGTTGAGAGGTCTGGTCTCCTGGAAGGCTGGTTCTTTTCGTTTTTGGTTGATGCGGGAGGATTAACAACACGTGCACCTGGAGAAGCCTCTGTGCCCCTCGAAGGATTTAAATGGGTTTGCATGGTGACCAAATTGAGGACAGTGGTTTCTGTATTAAGTGCTTGCATTAACACACAGGCTTCGGAAGGTTTGGGAACAGGCTCCTAGGATACTGCTGCTGGTTTCCAGATCCCACTTGGAGCAGCAAGGGTCTACAGGAGCCGGGACAATGAACTCACAAACCAAGCACAAGTCCCTCCATTCTTGGCGTTCAAAAGCAAACAGGGGAAGCAACTCCCAACCAACTTGGTCTTTAGGAAATTACTGAGTCATGGGAATGGTATAAAACCAACAGAATATACACAGAACTCTGGATCCATGAAGGAAAGCAACAAACCCATTTTCCCCAGCTGAAAACCCCCTCTCCCATTCCACTCACTCCCCAAAACAAAGTTCCTTATTTTTCTGTGATATAAAATAGCCTTTTTGTTAGTTGTCATAAGCTGTCCTTTCAGATAGCTGTTCATGAGAACACTTACAAAGACACTGGTAGTATCTCTTGTTGAGTCTCAGTGTAAAAAGAAAAACTAGTTTTTAAAACACCAGGGAAGAGGAGTAACAGTCAACCTAGAACACTCCTCAGGCACCAGTGGTTTCTGAAAATTGGACATGCATTCTGCAAGTGCCCCTGATTTATGCGCAGTCTGACCTTCAGGGACTGAACAAATGAGTAAACCATCTCAGGGACACTTTCCCTGTTAAGTTAGAGGCTTTGTGCTAGGATGATAGGAAAACAACATGTCCCAATACTGTGGTCATGTGGAGGACACACAGGACTAGCACCAGGCCAGCAATCCTGTGGCCAGCACCCTTGGCCATCCCACCGGCTAGAGGACCTTGCCCACCCAGTTAACCACTTCAAGCCTTTACCTACAGAATGAACACACTCCCCCGGTCCTGGCACATTCCACGGGTGTTGAGCACCCCTGTCCTGGAAAAGACAACCCTTCCCAAGCCCGAGCCTCACTTTAACAATGGTGGTCATTCCATAGCCAACAAATTTTAAAACACAGTATGCAAGGTAACAGATTCCTGGTTTTCATACCACAAACTCACCAGTCCTGGAACCACTTCTATCGGAACCTTTGAGCATGGGAACTAACATTTCTGCGGCTCCGAAAGCATGGTGGTGGATTCATCGGTTACAACATTATGAAGAGGAAAGCTTTTTTCCAAATTCACTTCTGGGGATTGCTATTACCTTGTACTACCCAATATTTATCCTGGAGCCCCAGAGCAGAGGACCCACAGAAACAGTCTGGAGGGAGTGTGCGATTCCCAGTATCTTGCCCAGTGCTTTCAAAAAGCAACTCGTGTTTATGGGTTTATGCCTCCCATCCAGTCAAAGCACTGGACCAGAAACCAAAGACTTTGGTGAAAACAAATCAACCCTCACCTCCAAAAGACCGCAAGCACGGAACGTAATTCCTTTTGTTTCAAACGACAACCGCCTGGGAAACATTTTCCAATCTAAATGGATTCCCTAGTCCTGGTCAGGGTAATTTAAACAAGCACCCAGGTGATCTGTGGAACGCACTTTCAGGGAGGACTCTCCTTGTGGCTCGACATTCTTCCTAGACAAGCCCCCCCCCCCAACCACGTCCATTGCCCGCAAACCACCTCCATCGTTTTGTCCCCAGTGGCCCTCAAAGTGTTACACTCTGTCCCGACAGAAGGTCAAAAAGCAGTCAAGGACCAAGTATTTACTTGTCAACTTTGTTTTTGAAACAAAACACAAACGCCGTCATCCGTCTTTGCTACGGCGCAGTTTACACCCACAATCCCATCCACTTTCTGACGAACTTTCAGCCTCTTCTTCTCCATCACGCAAAGTATTCCAGCAAGCGGCAAGCAAGTCAGGGTCCTAGGGTGGAAACTCTAGGTGCACTCTTGGTTGCCCGTCATTGCTCTGGCCCCAAAACCACACCGAAAGGCTTGCACCGAAGAACTCCCCAAGCACGTCCCCGCGCGACCGCGGCCCTCGGTCACCAAGCGAGTCTCCAAAGCCCTCTCCAAAGAACTCCCCCTCCACGTTCCCCGGTGCGTGGCGGACTCGGCAGAGCCGCGAGACTCACCTGAAACACGTGGTGAGCTCACCCGAAGGCTTCAGACACGGATATTTCGTCGTGGCGATCTTGTTTTCTGAGCAGATTTCTCTAGAAGACAGTGGGAGCCGCCACTTCGCTGGCTGTCCGCGGGAGAGCGCAGCGCAGGGCGCGCGAGGGTGGCGGGAGCTGCGTCTCCGCGCGCCGAGAAGGCGCTGGTCCCCGCACGCGGACGCGGACTCGGGGACCGAGCGGGGGTCCACGGGCGCGAACCCAGCCCCGGGGTGGCCGTACCAGGGAGCTCTGACCCACTGACAGAGGAGCCCGGGCAGGACGTGGAGTTTAATGCCGCCCAGGGTAGTGGAGCGCCCAGCCCGTGCCAGCGGAGCCAGGGCGCGCGGGTGCCCGCAGGGGCCGGGGTCCCGCTCCCACCCCACGAGCCGGGCGCGCACCCAGCCGGGGCTGGCAGCGCTTACCTGTCGCCGTCCTCGGGCTCCTCTCGGTAGCTCCACGTGTGTCCCAGCGCCAGGAGCAGCAGCAGCGGACCCAGGCTCCTGCCCAGCTGCCTCCTCACCGCTCCTCCCCGACTCGGAGGCGGCGGCACCATCAGGGAAGCTCCCGGCTTCTTCCCGGCGCTGGAGCTCTCTCCCCGCCTGTGCTCGGCTCCTCCGCGGCCGCCGCCCTCCCTCTGCCCGGCAGGGGGCGCCGGAGAGCAGGGGCGTCTGCGCCACCTGCGCGAAGCGCAGGGCAGGAGGTGTCCCGGAGCCGGGGGTCGGGCGAGGAGTCGGGGGTGGGGGGTGTGCGTGCAGATGTGGCGGAGGGACAGGGAGACGCGTCGCCCGCGGTGCTCGGCCGGCGCGGGAGTCGCGGGGTCTCAGCCGTTTCGCCCGGGATGTTCACTCGGGACCCACGGACTCGCCGGGCTCGGCTGCCGGCAGCGCCCTCCCCTGTCGCCTCCTCCTGGGCTGGGAGGGACCCGCGGGGCGCGCAGAGCCGGCGGCCGTGTGCATCTTGCCCCAGGCTAGTCCGACCCGGAGGAGGAGGAGCCGGCTCGCACCTCGGCGGCGGGGTGGGGCGGCGGTAGCCCAAGGGTTAATAAGCGTCCTTCCTGGCGTCAGGTCCCTTCCGAAGGCCGGGGCAGGCCTCGGGTCGCCTTTCGCCCTCCGGCGCCTATGCCCTGCTTTCCCGCCACCCGTGCTCCTCTCGGCGGGATTCGGGAGGACGGACTCAACGCTTCTCCCCAGCGGCCCTTCCACGGCTGCAGCCGCACAGCTCACAGGGCGGAGCGGCCTGGCTTCCTGAAAATCCTAGAAGAAAGTTCTCTGGTCGTTGTATTTGTTCGGAAAGTCTCTGTTTTCTTCCTCACTGGAGGAGGGGACAAGCCAGGAGCGCGCTTTCTTTCCTTCCTTTCTCCCTTCTTGTCCCCCACCCTGGTAGGTGGGGATCTTACAGGCCCCTGCCCCGAGCGGCTTTCACGAGGTTTCCACGCCACGTGAGCCACCGCGGGTGAGCGCTGGAAACTCCTCGAAGACCAGGTGACACGCCAAGGGTTAAGCGATTGCCTTCGGCTCAGGTCATGATCTTAGGGTCCCAGGATCCTGTCCCCGTTGGGGCTCCCTACTCAGCGGGGAGTCTGCTTCTCCCTCTGGGTCTCCCCCCTCTGGTACTCTCTCTCCCATTCTCTTTCAAATAAATCTTTAAAAAAAAAAATAAAATGTGCTACACACAAATAGGAGTTTCACGTGGTAATTCAGAAGGCACTTTAGAAGCTTACAACACCCGAGAATGGGGATCATGGGACAGGGAAAAACAAAACAAAACAAAACAAAACAAAACAAAAAACCACATTCAAATCCAGGCTGTGTGGTTTACCAGCTATGTGACTTAGGGCCAGTTGCTTAACCTCTCTGAAACTTATTTTTCTCATCTGCAAAATGGGGAAACCTCCCTTATAAACGTTTCTGAGTGTTAAGTGAGGTAGGTGCATACGAAATATTTTTCAGAAGGCCCTCCATGTATTAAGTGCTTAGTAGACATTATTATTATTTGTAATGTAATTATTGCACAGAATTTTCAGTTTTAACTTTCTAGCTTTCTGCTTCCAGGATAAATACAAGTTTATTTCATAGTAGTTGTCTGGGCTTTTAAAGAGATACCTGTCTAAACACATTGAAAAATAAAGGCATCCTGGAACTTATAAAAATTGTATCACTTTCGATTGGACCATAAACCTGTTTAGTCTCCATCTTGCAGGAAGACGCAGTCCTGCAGAGGTTCTGTTTTTATTTTACTACCAATTACTCTATTTTGATATCTTGCTATCTTTTTTTCTCGTTTTTACTTGTTTTGTTTTTCTGCTGTCGCGTTGTGGACATTAGTTCTGCAAGTAATAGAATGGTGAAGGGGATTCGTTATCACTTTCATTAAATAGTTAATAAGCCCATATGGAGACATGCATCTTGGCAGAGAGACTACACGTTGCAAAATGGTAAAAACAAAACCATGCCCGTTATGCACAGCTGTGTAGCAGAAGATTGGGGACAAAGCCAACTTGGCCGCCACCTTATTTTCAGCCCAGGGCACTGAGCACGCATGACAAAGAGGCCGCAGAGAAGGTACCAGGTCCACGCAATCAGTCCAGGTTTGTCTGGGGAGGAAATCCCCAGAGTGGGAGGTCAGAGCATTTCTGGAAGAGGTGAGCTGGAGCAGAGACTTAGAGGAAACCTTTGCCCGGGAGGCCTGGAATTTAAACTCTTTGGCAGCTACCTACAGCCCGACAGCCCAATGTTTAGTGTGAGGCGTGGGGAGGGGGCTGGGCTGGAGAACACAACCAAGCAGGAGATGTGACGACCTTGTACGGATCCCAGTCCCCTAAACAGTGAAACACTCCTGCAAAAGACAAAACCTGCATTTGCTCAGGCTGCAGCCTGTATGGGAAATGTCACAAGGAGGCCGAGTGTGGTAATGACCTCCAGGGTCATAGGTTTTCTTTCCTGGCACCCTCACTCTGTCCCCCACCAGGCACGAGCTCCCCATTCCCTGGCTTGCCCCACCGATCTGCCCCATTCCCTCACTTATAAAACAGTGGATGAGAGGCCTCACCTACGGCCTCTTTCATAGGAGGGTGGCAAAGATTAATGATAGGGACCTAAATGCTCCTTGGGGTGGTTCTGTACGATTATTTCTTTTCAGCATACCACTCTCTGTGATGTTTTCCATATAGACCTGTCAGCTTCCCTGAAACAAACCAGAGAGTGGAATGTTACACAACTGACCATGTCCTGGGGATGTGGGGCTGTGCCTAGGGCTTTAATGTACACACTCAGCTCTAGGTTAGACTCCCTGGTGGACCGGATATTGAATGTAGGGGGCGGTGCGGAGGGAGACTGGCTGACCTGAGAATATAGAAGCCAGCATATAAGAGCAAATGAAAGGAAAAAAAGAAAAGTTAAGACTAGGCCATAGGGCCAGTGGCCTGTTCCACTTATTTTTAAGGGATTCCAATAATGTATTTGGACAAAATCAACATAGTATTAGAAAAAGAAAGATCCATAAAAAAGATAAATTACTATAAGAAACAGAACACCACTGCTTGAGAGCACAATTCATTTCATTTCATTTGTTTGTTCAAAGTTTTCCTCTTCATAAAAAAGGATTTGTGGCGGCAAAGACCTACTATTTTACCATGTGTCTATCTCTCTATATTATCTGCATTATGTATAGTATATATTCTATATAGAATAGAGCAAGATTAGATAAAGCAATTCACGCAAAGGAAAGTCGGGATAAATAATGAAAGGAAGCTGAAGCAAAGGTAGTTGGCACGATCATTACATAGGAAGTCCTATGCTCTGTTCAAAGCACATCACAAATCAGTCCTCAGACTGTCAGGTATCAATTCAAGTAATTCCATGATCAGTTACAAAATCAAGGTAGTTATAAAGGAAAAGTCTATAAATTGCTAAAAAAAAAAAAAAATCACAGATTTTTCCTGTTGGTCTCCCTGAAATATAAAAACGTCATCTGTTAAGTAAAGGTCTTTTCATAGAAACAAGACTTAACAAGTGTGGGTAGAGTTTCTACTGAATTTGAGTGATATCCATACAATATAATATCCCTAAAATAAACAGGTTGCCCTGTTAACCTTTCCTTCAGTTTCAGTTTTCATTGCCATACAGCCAGGTTGGCTTAGAGAAACAGGGTTACACCTTGAAAAGTGTTCAAGTGTGCCAGTCTCCAAGCCTTTGTGAGGAAATGCCACAGGCAAGAAGACTCAAACATGTTAACACAGTAAAAGGATTTTAAAGTTCTAGTTTTGGGGTGTGTACGCCGCTGTCTTGGCACTCAGTCTGCCTTTGTTTTAACTTGCACAAATTCTGAACCTATATGGAATCTTTGGGTCTCTGGAATTTTCACCCAGGACAGGAAGAAACATTTATGTCCATGACAGAATCCGAATTTTTGCCAAACTTTGAAAGAAAACCAGTTTTAAAAGATTAGTTAGCCTATGTGTATATACACAGCTAAAAGATATATGTACAAACAATAAAGAGAGAGAGAGAGAACCTTCTTGTTACTTGGTTGAATGTCTCCAAAAAATCAAGAAAAATTGTTCATGTGATTTGGATGTTGTATTCTTGAAAGTTCACACACACACACACACACACACACACACACACACTGAATCCCTATGTGGGGGAGTTGGCAATCTCCTTGACCAGTCAGAGCTGTAGGATCAAACCCCAGGTTTCTAGGAAAAGTGTGTTCTAACACCACTCAACTTTGCAGCTCTTCCTGGGACAAATGGAAACCGTAGGACATGCAGCTGGGATGACCCCATCTCTTGGATCCCCACAAGCATAAGCAAGGAAGGTTAAGGGGCCAACACTAGAGGCAGGACCACCGGCCCCCACTACATGATCTCTGGTCCAGAAAATGACATCATTAAAATTATCCCAGGACTGGGGCCCCTGGGTGGCTTAGTCGTTAAGCGTCTGCCTTCAGGTTCTGATGCCAGAATCTTGGGATTGAGCCCCACATAGGGCTCCCTGCTCAGCGGGAAGCCTGCTTCTTCCTCTCCCACTCCCCCTGCTTGGGCTTGCTCTCTCTCTCTCTCTCTCTGTGAAATAAATAAATAGATAGATAGATAGATAAATAAATAAATTCTTTAAAAAATTTATCCCAGGACTTTAGAGTTGACTCCTTTGAGTGTCAGCCATGCCAACATGCAATCTTCTGTGCTTTATTTCTGTAGAGCTAAGTCTGTTTATATCCCCTTCCTCCATGCGGGTAAGAGTTCTTATTTAACACTTATGGAGAACTAGGAGATAGCTAGTAATATGGCATCGAACCAATCTGACAGGTAATAAGAATGTTGACCATAAAAATTGTCTAATCTGAGCCAAGTTATCCTTTGGGATATCTTAGTGAAATAATGTGCTAAGAGGCCCAGTACTTACTATAATCCACAATTTAATTATATTTCCCTTTAATTATATTTTCCCAAAGGGAAAATATATTTACCTCCCTCTTTAAAAAATGGATAGAGATAGCCCTGGGAAATGGGAAGAAACTGGATGTAAAAATCAGATTTACCTAGGTTTGAAATCCAGCTTACCACTTAAAACCTCAGTGATCCTGGTCAAATTGTGAAATCTTCTCGGGGCCCAGTTTATCCATAGTTAATACAGAAACCACAATCTCCAACCTGTAGGATTGTTGAAAAGAATTAATGGGATATATAACGTACCTAT